GAATAGAATAGAATAGAATAGAATAGAATAGAATAGAATAGAATAGAACAGAATAGAATAGAAAATATACCATAGAATAGCATAGAATAGAAAATATACTATAGAATAGAAAAGATACCATAGAATAGAATACAATAGAACAAAATAGCAAGTATACTATAGAATAGAATAGAACAGAATAGAAAATATACTATAGAATAGAAAATATACTATAGAATAGAACAGAACAGAAAAAAACAGAATGGGTTATATTAGCTTCATGTTTTCTTCTAGTAATACTTCATGTCTAAATATATGGTTCTGTATACTTTTACATTCAATGACATTTCTTTTCCTTTTTTTACTTATTAATGATAGGTAGTTTTCCCTCTTCATTTCTGAGTATGAAAGGACAGAAAGAATTTAATTAACTTGGAAAATCCCATTGAACAAAGAACAAACCATCTTCCAAATAAGGTACATGACACCGGAGGTGGCATATTCAGCAGGTTCTGACCAGTTCTGGAGAACCGGGAGCAGAAATTTTGACTAGTTTGGAGAAGCAGCCAATCCCGCCTCTGACTGGAGATTTTGCAGTCTCCTTCCCCTGCCACGCCCACCAAGCCACGCCCACCAAGCCACGCCCACAGAACCGGTAGTATAAAAAAAATTGAATCCCACCACTGCACGACACCATTCTCCATTTATAGCTAGAAAGTTTTTTTTTTAAGTCTTCTCGGGGTCTTTTTAATCTTTTAAAATATTTCTAATATTAATATTCAATATTAGCACCCACACATTTTAGTAGTTACAAACGGTTCATGAAATGGAATTAAGACCTTCCCAAAGAGCAGCCCTAAAGTAAGTGATCCTAGCCTTCCAGGTGTGGGTCCAGCACTCGATTACAAATCGCCTCACAACTAGAACTTTACCTTCCCTCGCTTGGCTTGGCAGAAGTTTCACAGACATGGCATGTCGTTATTGCACTGGAAAAACAAAGCAAATCGAAGCCATCGCTTGCCAGAGGTGCTCCTTTTTTTTCAACCTCAGAGGTCTAATCTCAGGGCTTCCACCTGCCTCCCTTCCGAACCAACAGAGCCCCAGCATGGAGCTCGGTGGCCTTGGAGCCACCCGGGGGGCTTTGTTGACATGGTGGCCAACTTTAGCCTGGGAACGGGGCAGGGGGGGAGCCCACCTCCGCTTCCACAGAACTGGCCCTGGTCCATGGCCCTGTTTGAGACCTGATGGTGTCTCATGAATAAATGTGGGCCTCGGACAGCGATCGCTCTCATCTGTTGCAGCTAATGTAGGTGGACTGTCTATGATGGTTTATTTCTCTTTGTTCCTTTGTCTGCCATGTTTTAAGCCATGTTTAAAGGCGATCACTGAGAAGCACTTCGTGGGGGCAACCCCACAGGGCCTAACTCCCGCTCCGAGCCACACAATTGGTGCCGTATTTGGGGCGCTGAGTTTCTGCCTCGGTTGACCAGAGGTTGCGTGTAAACTCTCTCTCTCTCAGGATGAGGGAATGGTAAAAAGCACCGATACTTAAAAGGGCAAAGTTAAAAGAGCTGCCGTTTCTTTCGTCCCTTCGCGAGAGCCAAGCACTCATCGTGCGCCCATGGAACCTGAGGGAAAGCTGCCAGGCTGCACAGGTTGCCAGGAGCAACCCGTCTGCAGAGAAAGGAGGGACGCTGCCCCCAGCAACGGGTCTCACCTGCTCCGGTCGAGATGCCCAGCAATCGGCAAAGATATTCCAGCACATTCCAAGCCACGGCTTGTTTCATGCTAGGGAGCCCTGCGGAGATTCTGAGGTGATCCCTCCAAGTCTGTTTGGGGCGATTCCAGGAGCCACTGGGGTTGGGTCGAGCCTCCCCTCTAAAGCAAACTAGAAGCGCATTAATTCAAAGACCCACAACCAAGCGACACCCTCCTGGACCTCCTCGGACCGGCTAGAACCGCACCGGAGAGGCTCCTGGCGACCTCTTCATGCCGCCATTTATTCCGCTTTATTTCAGAGGGCAATTAATGATTACCGAGCAGAACAAATGCATCCCTTAATGCCTAAGGCTCTTTGGGTGGCACGGCAGGGCAAATCCACCCAACGCATGCCAGCACCTGGTGGCTGTGGAGCCCAGAACCGGCAGGCAGATTAATTGCTATGGGAGGAAATCAGAGGCTTAAGGCTTCTCCCCCTCTGGCCCGATAGGTTGCTGAAAAAGCTGAAAAGGCTACTGTGTTTTTGAGCAGGCCCTTCGCCCGATTCATTGTTCTCGCTGGGAGGAAATTTCTCCTTATTCCTAGGCTGCTCCTCTCTTTCATGACCTCCCCCCCCCCCCCTTATTTCTTGTCCTCCCTCTGGTGCTTTGGAAAATAGGTTGCCCCCCCCTCTTCTTGTGGCAGCCCCTAAATATCGGAGTCACCCCTAGTCCTTCTCTTTCTTTGGCCAGACACGCCACGTTCTCTCCCGGACGATGGTCGTTCTGCCTGGGTGACCAATTGCAACCGTTGCACAGGTCACTCGCTGGGCCCCAGAGGCTGTTTGTGGTTGGAAAGACTTGACAAACTCAGGACCCGCATATCCTGGAGAGGCCCCTGAATGACGGGTCATACCTGCCTATCCGGGGGGGTTCTGGAAGGGATTCGGGGCCCTGCTCCAAAGGGGCGTCCTCCTCCCACCCCTTCCCCAAATCAGAGGAGGGCTTCCTCTGTGGAGGTTGAGCGAACTCTTCCAGAAGAGCCCCTGCCTGGTGTGGTTGGAGTCGCTCCTGCCTTGAGCTAACCGGATTGCATGCCTTTGGGGATTTGCAGCTCTTTGGATGCTGTGATGAGAATGTTATTGTTCTGTTGGCCGGGTTTACCGTTTTAATCCTTTTTACTGTAAACCAGGAGTGTACATCCCTTAGAACCGATTGCACTGAAGTGGGACGTAATCCTAAATAAATAGGGATAATTCGAAGTCACCCAAAGTCAAGCTTGACTTGAAGGAAGCTTCCCTTTTGCTAAGCACTGAAGTTCTTCTTGCTGACTTCCTGTCCTCGGTGCACTGGGGTAGATAGGTAGACCGGGGACTTCACACACGTCTTCCTGGTTTTCTTTAATTGGGCCCCTTGAAAGCCACCGTCCCCCTCCCTTCTAAAGCCCCCAAGCCTCTACCTGCCCCACTCGCTCAGGCTTTTGGTCTCCAGCCTGGCAGGATCCAGTTCAGGGCCCCCCTAATTCAGCTCCCAAGGCCCAGCCAAGCAGCTTTTCAAGAACTGCAATTCTTCTCCTGCCAGCAATCCATCATGGGGAATTCGCAACCTTTGCTCTCTGAAATGCTCTTTCTAGAGCAATAAATATCTAGCCAGGCTTTGCCCCGTTACATTGTTAGCTCCTTCCCAGGCACTTCACACCTAACCTGTTTTCCTCTCCCTTTTTCCCCTCTCCCCAGACCACGAACTAACAGATTTATTATTCTTTGAGATAACAAAGCAGGATTATTTTTACTGCAAAGACTAACGTGGCAACTCCCTTGGAAATTATTTATGGCCGGTGTTTTAATCCTGCCTCTCCCTCTGGGACCTCCCCTCACCCTTCCCTTCCCTCCAACCCATGTGTGTGTGTGTAAAGTGCTCTTTTCTCCGGGGCTCCTTTGTACCTCAGATAAACTACTAGACTATCATCTACCAAAGTTGAAGTGCCAGCAAAATCGGGCCATTTTTGAGCTGCCAGTGCACATTTGTATTTATTTATGCACCCTGGAAAGCAGAAGGAGCTTAGACCTAAGACAAGGCCCAGTTCGCGTACAGGCCGGGCCGGTTCAAGGGGCAAAGGGGCCCTTCCCTTCAGGGGAGGCGGGCAGAGTCCCTCCCCAGAGGCGGCCAAGGTCCAGGGAAACCGCTCGGCCATAAAGAGACCCAAAGCAGAGGAGAGGCCAGAGGGGGCAGCTGGGACGCCGGGCCTGTCGGGCACCTGGCAGGCCGAGCTCCTTCAAGCGGCCGGGGAGCCGCCCGCTCGGCTCTTCTGCCGCCTCCCGTCCGCCTCCCGCTCCGGCCCGGCTTTTGCGCGGCGCCCGAGCGGCCCAGGCGCGCCTAGCCAAGGGGAGCCGGGACTCGCCCTCCTTCCGCCATGGCGGGGTCCGGGGCGCCGGGCGGGCGGCGGGTGGTGGTGGTGGGCGCGGGGGCGGCGGGGCTGGGGGCGGCGCAGCGGCTCCTCCAGGGCTCCCGGCGCTTCGCCCACCTGCGCCTGCTGGAAGCCTCGGGCCGCGCCGGGGGACGCATCCGCAGCGCCCGCTTCGGTGAGTCGGGACGGAGGGCGGGCGGCGGGCGGCCCGGGCAGGCAGGCGGGAGAGGCAGCCGGGCAGGGAGGGCGGAGGCGGGCGGCCCCTTCATCCCTGCCTGCCCCCCGGGGCTCCCCCCACGGACGAGACCGGGAACGCCCCCGCCCTTCCCGGGGAGGCGGACCCAGCCGGGGCGCTGCGGAGCCTGGCCTCCCGGGGGGGGTGGGGGTGGGGGGTGGAGGGCAGCTTGGGTGACCGAGGGGCTCCCCCTTCCCCCCCCAGGAAAGGGCGTGGTGGAGGTCGGGGCGCAGTGGATCCACGGCCCGTCCAAGGAGAACCCCGTCTTCCGGCTGGCCGCGGAGGCCGCCTTGCTGGACGACGATGCTCTGTCGGAGGAGAACCAGCAGGTGGAAGCGGGCGGGCACCCGGCGGGGCCCTTCGCCTGGTACTCCAGCCAGGGCCGGGAGCTGGACCCCGAGGTGGGGCGTTCCGCGGGCGCCTTCTTTGCGGGCCTCCTGGAGGAAGCGCGCGCCTTCGTGCACGTGGACCCACCGCCGGTGCCCAGCGTGGGAGAGTACCTGAGGGGCGCCGTCGCCCGGAAGGTGCGGGAGACGGCGGGCGAGGAAGAGGCCCGGCGCCTCCAGCTGGCCGTCCTCCGCTCCTACTTCGACCTGGAGTGCTGTGTGAACGGCACCGACAGCCTGGACGAGCTGGCGCTGGGGGCCTTCGGAGAGTACGCCATGCTGCCCGGCCTGGACTGCACCTTCCCCAGGTGAGTCCTCCCCAGCCCTCGTTTTCAAACAGAAGGGAGGGAGACCCCGCTGTCACCTCCACCCCAAGTTTTCTCTACCTGTCCGGGAGACTCCGTGGCTCAGGGGTAGATTTGGGGCAAAGTGTGTGTGTGTGTGTGTGTGTGTGTGTGTGTGTGTGTGTTTCCCTCACCTGTCCTGGTGCTTCTCCTCCTTTATTACAGAGGGCATTTTGGATTATGAGCCTCCAATTTAATGACAGCAAATGGGCCCCAAAGTACATTTCAGGCTGCCCACTTGCTTGGCTTCTTTGTTCCTCCCAGCGGTTTCCAAGGCCTCACAGACCACATCATGGCCTCTCTGCCCGAAGGGATTGTGCTGTTTGAGAAGCCGGTGAAGACGATCCACTGGGGAAGGTCCCACGTGGAGGAGGGCTCCCCAGGCCGGCTCTTTGGGGTGCAGGTGGAATGTGAAGACGGAGAGAAGTTCTTGGCAGACCACGTCATCGTTACGGTGCCCTTAGGTAAATCTCGGTGGCCCTCAGCATTGGGGGAGGGTTGGGGGGCATTTGGGGTCAACATTTTCTGCACTAGGACACAACAGATTTACTTTTGCTACCTGGACAATCCGTGTGTGGCTGCCTGGTTAGCAAGCAGTCAGCTGGAGGCCACGGTAGAAGCAACCTGAAGAGGAAACCCTTGGGACACTCTTATTTTAGCTCTCGAATTTGACAGAGTCGAATTGTAGGATTACTTTTTTTACAGTTTTTTGTGTTTCTTGCCTCAAAATGGCAGGAACCAATGCCACCCATGTTAACTAAGAAAGATTCAGTAGACCACACATCACTTTGTTGCTTTATTAAAAAAAAAAAAGAATTGTGTATAATTTGGTTTGCTTATAAAAGCATGTATAACATTGGAACATTTCTATTTAAACAATCATTATATATGTATTTGTTGAATTTACTTTAAAATGGCTGCATGCATACACATGTCTGGGTGCAGGTCTCAGGTTCTCTGTGTTTTCTCTGTGAAATCAGGCAACAAAGAAATGAACGTTGAAGCAGAAGCCACCGTCAGCACTAGAAATGGAAGTTGGTCCTCCATTTATCAAATGAGCTCCTCACTCCCTTTCTCTCTCTCTGTTAAATTAGAAGACGGAGAAAAAGAAGGCGGGCAAATCAAAATACTTATTTTTCCACAGAAAATAGTGTTAAGTCACTCTTAATTTTGGTATCTTCTCTGGCCTTCATAACCAATGAATCCTAAAACACTATCAGAGAAACTGGCAGCAGATCGTCATATTTCCTGGGCTTCAGCTCCTGTGTTGTTCTTGAATGTTTCCTCAAATAAGTTTATTCAATAAGGTTTGGAGGCATTTTCCTCAAATTCTGGCTTCCTGTTCTAATCGGGGCTCTATCATTCCCGTCTTTGTAGGTTTCCTCAAAGAACACCAGGAGTCCTTTTTTTGCCCGCCTCTCCCACCCCAGAAGCTGGAAGCAATAAGACGTTTGGGCTTTGGGACTGCCAATAAAATTATTTTGGAATTTGAGCAACCATTCTGGAAGCCGGACACTGAAATAATTGGGATGGTGTGGGAAAACGAGTCCCCTCTGGAGGAGCGTCCTGCTGATTGGAGAAATACCTGGTTCCAGAAGATTGCTGGCTACGTGGTTCTTGAGCCCCCTGAGAGGTGAGGGGGAGACGGGGGTGGGGGGGGCATTGAAGTGGGCTTCTCGGGAAGGAGGGAAGCTTCAATCATGCCCTGGTTCTCAAAGCAGAGGGGATACTGGGCTTGAAGCAGGAACAGTGAGTAAGTTACAGTACTCCGTAACCCATGATGATGTTCACAAGCTTGCAGAGTTGCTATCCATCTGCTGATGCTATGTTATCTTTACTATAGTTCTTACAACTCGGAGGAGAAATTGAATTTATTATTTATTATGAAATTTATTTGCCACCCACTAGTCAGGTGGAACTAAAAAAGCTACTTAGATGAGAAGCGAAATGTTTTCAAAGAAAGAAAAAATCCAAAAATCCAGTTTCCTTTTGGAAGAAGCACCTTCGGGACTTGCTTTGCATTATTTTTCTTCCTGTCTTTCAATTTACAGACATGGGCACATCCTTTGCGGCTTCATCGCTGGAAGAGAATCTGAATTTATGGAAACCCTGTCAGATTCCGAAGTTCTTACAACTTTGACTCAAGTATTTCGTAAAGCAACAGGTAGATGGTCTTTCTGGGCAAGCGCTGGATGATGTGTAGCCGTGCCTTATAGTATTACTGTTATTACCTATTAAATTATATGCCAGCCCTTTCACGGTTCGAGGCAACTCTGAGCAATAAGCGCACCAACGTGCCTACCGTCCCTGTCCTATTGTTTCTCTTATTCTTTTATTTTTCTTATATGTAACCATTTCATGTATTCACAACTATGTATACATTTATACTTACTATCTTGTAAACAATTGGCAAATCAAATAAATAAATAAATAAATAAATAAACTACCTCAGGGTCCTGCTAGAAAGATGGGCCTAAATTTTCTACAGTCCTACCCAATTCGGGAGGGAGGAATGAAGCAAGTCCCGTCCACCCTGCCTTCCCTGAACATCGCGGTTTCCTAGTGGACTCTGTATTATCAAATTGGCCGAAAGGGTAAAGGTGTAATTGGAGAATGAATTCCAGGGTAGAAATTAAAATGTTGATTTGCTCTGTGTTTGTTTTGATTAGGAAATCCACAGCTGGCTCCTCCGAAGAATATACTGAGATCTAGATGGCATAGTGAACCTTACACCAGGGGGTCCTACAGTTACGTAGCTGTGGGAAGTTCTGGGGATGACATTGACTTGCTTGCTCAGCCCCTCCCTGAGGACCCCTCTGACTCCAAGGTAAGCAGGATGAGTCCAGAGCAGACTTTCTCCACCCCACGTGGCCCTTTGAAGGTCTGTGGACTCCAAATGTTACGTTGATCCCCGAAAAGGGTTTTCATGGATAAAGAATTCATTAAAGAGTTTTATCCCGCCTTTATTTAAATAACTCCGGTATGGGGTATGTACCCAATACTCCTTCCTCCTCCCCTCTTCCCCCACAACAACATCCCTGTGAGGTGGGTTGTGCTGAGAAAGAACGACTGCCCCAAAGTCACCCAGCTGGCTTTGATACTTATGGTGGGACTAGAACTCCCACCTGGTCCCTAGCCCGGGGCCTTAACTACTACAGCGAGCTGGCTCTCTGCTTGAATTTGACAAGCCAATAAGTTGATTGGCTGATTATTCTTGTCAGTGTCAGGGCGGAGCATATTGTTCAACACACACGTACCATTTCTCCCTAAATAGAATTGGAATTATTAAATTGTAAATGAAATTGAGAAAGCAGACGTAACAACCCCAGAAGCACCAGGAAAACCATCAAATCTGTGTAGGGCTTCAGAAAGTAAAGCCAGGCTTTGGACTTCCTGCCCTGAAGCAGCTTTTGGTTTGGCAGGCATTCCAGTGGGGTATTTTGATTGATGGATAGCTGACATGCCCCAGGAATAACGTTTGCCCCTCCTCCTCCTCAACAGGTCCTGCCCCAGCTTCTCTTTGCAGGAGAGGCCACCCATCGCTCCTTCTACTCCACCACCCACGGGGCCTTGCTGTCTGGCTGGAGAGAAGCAGACCGCCTCATCCATCTCTACGACTCGCTCGAGGCTCCGCGTGCGCAGCTGGAAGCTTGCGAGTGACACAACGGCAGCGCCTTTTTCTGTGCTACTTTTCTCACCAAAGATCAAGAAATGGTTAGGAGTTCTTTTAATTAGTCTGATCTTTGCTCCCGAGTTAATTACTAGGAGTACTTTTGTCCAAAGATATGACAACACTAATAATCCCCAACAGTGTGCACATTATCCTGTTTAAAAAACCTTCTGCTTATGTCGCTGTTTCTACCTCATCTGTTCCTAAAAGTCACCACCTACCATGGAAAATGAGCTGCCACGTTTAATAGTACTGGCTCAATATATACAAAGCATTAAGGCACAAATTAGGAAACTGTATTTTAACAAGCATGTTAAGCCATTGTGGGAATTATTTGGCTTTGACTTATTACATGAAATAACCTAGTCTGTTTGTAAACCTTGTTTGTAGCTTGGTCCATTATACCAAAAAACAAAAACAAAATGTGATGATGCTATATGGATTTGCATTCTGCACGAACCCACCTACTGTCTTAAACATACTTTTTATAATCCTCGGAGAGCAAGGAAGCCTCTCCATCAGTTGTCTCCTCCTCCTGTGCTGAGCAATGCCCGTGTGTGTGTGTGTGTGTGTGTGTGTGTGTGTCTGTATTGCCTAGCCCACTGTATGAATCCAGTCTCCGCTTCTGGTGACTTCATGGAGGGTCCCTTCTGTCCCTCTTAGCCACAGGATGAAGCCAACTACTGGCTGCTGCATTCCGGGGTGCTTTTGGGGGCTCTTCTTCTCCTGGTGTTGACATGTCCTGCTGCTCTCACATCCAGATATTAAACCCCAGGCCTTCTGGATGTGTTCTTGCAACGGAATCTCTGCATAGACACACTTGCTGCCTTGGTGAACAAAAGAGACTCAGGGCATCGTCCACAGAGCTCCATTCTTCTTTCTCAATCAATGTAATCTCTTCTAGCAAAGTTGATTGAAAGAAAATAAATACTATAAAATGTGAATGTCTGAAATATGCTTTCGTTGCTTTCCCCAAAACTGTCACAGGGTTTGTATTTTATAAACCCTTTATAAACCAAACCCTTCTTTAGAAATTCTGGTTTTCAGAAACTCGGTGGGGGTTGTAATTCCAGTGGCCCGTGTGCCTCAGAAACCGTTTGTGGTGTAGGGAGTAAGATGGTGATACACAGGGGTGGGATCTGACCGGTGTAACTACCAGTTTGCTTTGTGCGCTTTGCCCGTGTGAATCCTCAGCTTGCTGCCTGGACAGCTGAGCAGCGCTGCATGCAGGAGCGCAGCATTTGAAAAGCCACTTTCCCCCCACAGCTGTGCGTGGTTGGTCAGGTAAGAGCCCAAGTGGGCCAAACAGCAGCAAACACAGAACCGGTTTGGTGCCTGCTGCTCTTCAGAGCTACCAGTTCTACAGAACCAGGCAGAACCAGTAGCATCCCACTCCTGGTGACACATGCTCATTAATCACTTTTAATATTTTATGACACCATCATTGCTGAGTTAATCTTACAACAGTGATAATAAAATCATTGTCCACTCAGACTTATAAATATGCAGGGAGAAAAGTATTTTTATGCAAGGCTCAGATTCTTGAATAAAGCTTAAGAGCATATTTTATAGAGCATATTATTCTCATATACGGAAAAATGAGAATCTTCTTGTGTTATTCCCCATCGCTCCTTTGGCAGGGCAAAAGGTCTTCGGGTAAGTCTCCAATGATGGAGATGCGCCTTAAATATTTGCCCTATCGCTTTCTCACATTTCTTAGCCTAACCCACAGCTGTATTCACAAGACACCTGAAGTGAAGGGAAGCATTTTTGTTTGTTTTGTGCAAACCCAGCCCACATAGTGTGATCTGTGAATCCAGGAAGTTGGGTTTTCTCTTACTCAGCTAAACTAACCTGGCTCAAGTGCACAGTGTGAATATAGTCAGAATTAACGCAACAGAGAAAAAACAAACCCTCCACCTGGTGATTTCAGGAAGCTTTCACGATGATCACAGCCCCTTACATCTCAAAAAACCCACAACCCCAGCGTGGATACAGTACCAACACCGTCAGAGCGTGGCTGGGAATTGACCTGGGAAATGACGATGAAGTTAACCAAGCAAACAGTACCAACGTGGCCTGTGGTGAGTAAAGCCAGCCATGCTCCCCGTCTTTTAATAAGAGCTGCACATCTGGGAGCCTGAAGGTGGATGCTGGGCCTTTCGGGCAAGTCCCCTGCGCTGGCCGGCGGCCCAAGAGCAGCTAATACCAGTTGGTGCAGCAGATGAGGAACCTGGCGTCCTCCAGCGGGGCCAGGAGCCAGGCCTGGCAGTAGCTCTTGGGGTGACCGGCCTCCTCGGCAGGCGCGGGTGGCAGCTGCCCAGGGTTGCAGTCGGCATCTTCCGGGATGGGCGGCTCCTCTTCCTCCTCCTGATGGGCCTGGGCAGGATCCCGCTCAGCTGCTGCCAAGGGCTGTCCGGGGTGGTCGGAGGGGCTCATGGCCAGGGCCTGCAGGGGGGAGGGAGAGGAGAGCATCCCACGGGGGGGGGTCAACCCCAAAGGCCACCCTGCCAGTCTCCCAACGGGACACCAGCGATGGACGGACGATAGACAGGCAATGGGATAGACAGGCAACTCAAGGGGGGGGACCCTCCTCCCTCCCCCTCTTCTCCCCCCATTAGCAACCCTGCCAGAGGGGGCTGGGCTGGGAGACATGCGGAGTCCCCCGAGCTCATCCAGCTGCTCCCGTGCCCCTGCTCCTGCCGCTCAAGGGCAAGGGAAGGCCGGGCCAGCCAGCCTCTCCGCGAAGGCCGGGGTCGTGGGGACGGGACCCGGGAGAGCCGCCTCACCTCCTCCGCCCCGGAGGGCTCCTTCTCCGCGCCTTCGGGCTCCAGGGCTGCCCCGCGGCCCCCCCGCCGCCTCCCGCTGCCCGCCCCCAGGGCGACTGGGCGCCGGTCACGCCCTCCCCGTCGTGACGTCACAAGCGCCCCTCCTCCGGCGGGGCGAGTCCGCAGACGTCATCGGGGTGCGGCCGCGGGGGCCTCGCTCTCGTCATCCGAGCGCGCCGCCTCCACAGGATCGGCGGCCTCCGAGGTCCCCGAGCGGCGCGGGATGCGGCTGGCGGGGCCGCTGCGGGCGGCGGCTGGCGCGGGCGGCTGGCGGGAGCGCTTCGAGTGCGGCGGCCGCGACGTGGCGCGCTGGTTCCCCGGGCACATGGCTCGAGGCACGGCCGGGGAGAGGGGCGGGCGGGCGGGCGGGCGGGCGAGTGAGGGGCCTCCGCCGGGCCGGGCGGCGGTTGCAACGGCGCCTCTTTCCTCCCGCAGGGCTGAAGGACATGAGGAGGACCCTGCGCGACGTGGACGGCCTGCTGGAGGTGCACGATGCCCGCATATCCTTCCGCCGGGCCCCGCGGCGCTGGCTTTGCCTTCGCCTCTGCCTCGGGCATCCCAGGGAACAGAGCCGGGGTTCAGCCGTCCGTCCTGGGTGGTATCAGGGCTCCTGCCTTTGCGGTTGGACTAGTCCAGGGGTCTCCAACCTTGGCAACTTGAAGACTTGTGGACTTCAACTCCCAGAATTCCTCAGCCAGAATTCCTCAGCCAGAGGAATTCTGGGAGTTGAAGTCCACAAGTCTTCAAGTTGCCAAGGTTGGAGACCCCTGGACTAGGGGACCTCCCAGGCCCCTCCCAGCCCTAGGATCCCCACCTGGGGTGCGTGGAAGTGTCTGGCTGAGGGGATGCAGAGGACATCCGGGATCTGCAAGTGACCGGCCTCTTCTCCCCCCTCCCCTTGCTGGCCCGGCTGTGTGGGAGACCACAAGGCTTGTTTCTGCCATAGTTTGGGGCTCTTCCTCCTCTAAGGGGAACCCGGATCAATCAGTGATCGGTCTAAAAGAGATCCCTGCAGGGATCGAGGGGCCCTGCAACCCAAAGCACCCACCAGGTGGATCCCGAACACGGACCGTTCCCGCTCTCTTGAACACCAGCTCCCTCCAGGCCACGCTGTGGTTGCAGACCCTCTGGGGGCTTCCTGTGTTGGAGGCGGGCAGGGGGCCTTCTCTGGTTGCTCTGTCTGCAAGCGAGACCAGCCCCATACATCCTCAGATGCTATGATGGATTGTACTGTCTCTCAGCTGAAGAGCAGCCACCAAACCTGGCAAGGAGGCACCAAGGGCGGTTCCGCCATTGGAGACCAACCAGCCTGAGCCAAGCAGATTGCATTCCCTTCCTGCATCATCTCAGCCTGCCTCTTCCAGATACCCTGGATTGTCCACGTGGGATACTTTGCGGCACCAAAACATCCCTTCTCTTCCAGAACCCTTGGGCTGCCTCAGCAGCCGGGTGGCCGTGAGGTAGAAGCCAGGGCTTGTTCTCGGTAAACAATAGGTAGCCCTCCTTACTGCTGGGAAAGGAAAGTGTAGCTCTGACCTCCAGCCCTTTGCTTTTAGACACCAGTTGCCCCTTTTTCACGGCTTTTTATGTTAGTGAGGCAGGATATACCTTCATGGGATCCATGCTGATTTTCTTCAAAGAAAATGTGTTCTTCAGTAGGATGGCAATAGTTGCTTCCTTCCATTGGCTCCCATTTCCACCACTTTCTTTAGAACAGACATTAAGCTGGCCAGCCTATAATTTCCTCTGTGCTTCTCCTTCCCCAGTTTTGATTTTGAGAATGGTAGGAGTTGGGCTCCTGTGCTGCCTTCACCTACCACGTGGTTTTCCATTTTAAGTGCAGACTTCATGGTTCAGGTAATAAACCTGTGCTTCCCGTTGTGCATCTGGATTGTGGGTCTTTGTTTCCTTAGCACTTGCACATTCCGCTTTCCGGGCGGAATCCCGTCTTGCAGGAGGTCCTGGGGATCCGTCCACATTTGCTGGTGTTGAATAAAATGGATTTGGCAGATCTGACCCACAAGTCAGTGAGTAGAACCTTCTCAGTTTTTCCTCTTCCATAGACTGCAGGCTGAACCGGAGTTTGGAAAAGTGTCCAAGTGAGGATATGTAGGATGGGAAATAGGTCTTCTAGCTTGGATTGCTTGTTAGAATGTTGGGCCTGTCAAACAATTCATGCTAACTTTACCGTAGGGAACCTGAACTCTCGCTGTTGTTATTTTGTGTTTGATTTCAGTTCTACTTTAGCCTGTTCGATAACACCTGGCTTCTTCATCAGACTCTTGCCTTATTGATTACTTTATTGATTAATCAACCTCTTGCCTTACTAATATATTTAATTAGGCTGGGTGACTATAAAGAATCTAAATTATAGTAACAACTATAATTTATCAGGGGTTTTCAATTCAGTGTATATAGAATGTGAATGATGTGTGTGTTTATTTTCATACTCATAATATAAACTGAAGATGGTATTTAATTTCGTTGTACAAGGTGCAATGACAATAAAGTAAAGTAAACTAAACCAAACAACACTAATACTTCCTATGACTCTCTTTGATATGCTTTTAGAGGATTCTGGAACTTTTGGAACAACAAGGTTTGAAGCAAGTTGTCTTCACCGATTGCTTAACAGATGAAAATGTTAAGAAGGTAAAATTCCAATGTACAAAATTATATTCTAGTACGATGAGACTGGATGATGAGAGTTCTGTGTTCTAGAGCCCATCTTCCTACTCACTGAAGGATAAAGCAAAGCAGTTGGTACAAAGGAGTCATGGCATTGGCAGCCTTGTACCTTTCTTAAATGAGTGAATAATTCACCTTGGCTCTAACCAGTTTGATCTTGTGGAAGAGCTGCGGGGGTGGGGGAGATAAGTAGGCATATGGCGCCTTAGTTCCTAAGGACAAAACACACCTGCGGTTCCATGGAGTCTCTCTTTTCTTGTAGCTTATTCCCATTCTCACGGGACTGATCAAAAACAGTCAGCGTTATCAGAGGGCAGAGGTGAGTTGAAACTGGACATTTTGGAGAACAAAAACATTGCTGTGCTTTTCCTTCACATTTAAATAACCACTTGGTTAATAACAGAAAGGGCCATCCTGCTCTTTCCTGTGTTAAAGTTCCTGATATGTGGAATGGGTTCATTTTTAGTGGGATTGATTAGCCTCCATTAGATCCGCCCCCTGTGCGTGTGTGTGTGTGCGCATACCTGTGCATCTTCATGTCAGTCTTGGTGACCACACTGGATGAGTCCCTGCTGCTTCCTTGGCAAGGTCCTTCAGAGGAGGTTGGCCATTGCCTCCTTCCCAGGGCGGGGAGAATGTGAGTGGGCCAAGTTCACCCGGCTACCTTTGGGCCTAAGGTGGGATTCGAACTCCCAGTCTTCTGGTTTCTAGCCTGATGCCTTAACCACTCTGCCAGTTTTATAACTCTAGAGAACAAACCTAACCTGAAGATCACTTTATTCAGGATGATGCTTGTCCTGTCAGAAGGTCTTGATGGTGGTCCTTTACTTTTCTCCCTAAAATTAAATGAAATGGCAAATAATTGCCTGGACAAAGACCATCATGAATCAGGGCAGACTTTCTTTAAGAGAGGACCCATCCTAGGGGTGTGTTTGTGTGTGCCTGTGTGTGCATGTGCATGCTTGTGTGTGTGTATACTCCTATTAACAGGTTCCTCCGAGACCTAGGTTTTACAAGGTTAACGAATAATTGAGCGTTTTCCCGCATTATGCTCCAAAAGGTGAGCCCCTTTGGCTTCCATCTTTTCCAGCACCTGGAAATGTCTCTCTTTGAAATGCAGATGTTCCTGCCCAACAGATGTTCAGAGCAGCGGAGTGGGCTTTTGTAGGTTGCCCCTCTCCAGCCTTATACACATCTCAACAGAGAGGAGAAATGTTTCCTGGGGGTTGGTACAGGCCCAGGTTTCAGCCATCCTTGGTTAATGGGATCCTGGATATTGGGAAGGATGTTTCCATGTATGTCCGTCTCGAGAAAACTGTCAAAATCTTTCTTCTCTTCCCTGCTTGCGCCAAGCGTGTTTTCACGGTTACTCTCAACTGTTTCTGATTGGTTCCAGAATGTGGATAGCAACATCATGGTGATAGGTGTGCCGAATGTGGGGAAATCCTCAATCATCAATTCGCTGAGAAGGCTGCACCTCAGGAAAGGTATTTGCTGCTGCTTCCATTCAGACAAATTGATGCATTTGACACAGAGCATTCAGTAGAATCGGTGCACAAGGAGGAAAGTTGTGAGCGTGGCTACAATCCTGAAATCATGGTGGTCTGGTTCTGGCTTTGCAGAATGTTTCCCATTGGTGGATTAGTGATCAGTTCTTTCGAAATGGAAAAGCCCAGCTAAGCAAGTTCTTGGAAGCCAAGGAAAGAGGGGTTGGAGTGCTTGAGTTTTCCAGAACTCTGTCCAGCAATAGTGGAAACGGGGTTGACAGAGTTAAACGTGGGGATGGGACTTCCCTGCTCGGTTGCCAGAAAAGGAGCCAAGATTTGCTTCTTAGGGTTGTGGTCGGTTAATGGCAAAGGGACCCTTAGTTCCTCAGACAGTGGCGGCCTGACAAGCCAAGCGCTGCCGTCTTCTTCCATTGCACATCAGTGTGTTTCTCCTTTCTTCCTTTCCCTGCGACCAAGGAAAAGCAGCGCCGGTTGGAGCGGCGCCAGGTGTAACCAGAGCGGTTCTCACCAAGATCCAGGTAATCCAAGAGTTCGATGCGCCAAAGGGGACCGAGGGCACAGAATTGGGCTCTTATTTGAAATGTTGGTTCTTAAGTAGTGGACCCCTGACTCGAGGGGAAGGTAGGGGCTGCCCGAGAGAGCCGGTCCTTCCCAACAGAGCTCGGTCGGTGCCTCCTGTTCCTCACCCCATCTTCTCCCTTGCGACGGACTGATAACGGGGTGGATCTTCTTAGCCGAGCGGCTTCCTGCTGCGTTCTCATTCGAGGGAACTCCCTGGGAGGGGTAATGGGGATTAATAACGGGGCGTAGCCCAACACCCGAGGACCTAGAGGTGCATGTCCATGTCATTCTAAGATTAAATTGAGCTCTG